ATAATTAAGATAACAAAAATAATGTGAATGACTTAAATAAAGGTGTTTAGTTAATAAAAAAAAAGACACAGCAATTCTATGTGTGAATAGGAATACTATGTGTGGAAACACTGAACTATTAATGATTTTATGGAAAAACAGCCTACAGATAAATAACTAACAAAATACGGAAAGATACTCACATTAGCCAGCTGGTCTTCGGAGAGCCTCGTCCCGAGGAAGGCGTCCAGCTTTTTCAGTTCGCCCTTGATGTCCGCCTTGAGGTCCTCGTAGAAGACGAAGTGCAGGTTGGGGTGGTCGCGCTTCTGCCACGCCTCCTTCAGGTGCAGCCAGTACGGCCCGTACACCACTGGGGGTAGAGAGGCATCAAGAGATGTTAATTAAAGAAGAGAGAGAGAGTGGATGGGAAGGGAAGGAGGGAGGGAGGAAGGGGGGGATATGGAGTTCTTACGCCAGTGGAAACATATTGCTATTTTCCTTTCCTTTTTTCCAAGTCGAATCTCACTTACGATCATCTTTGACGAAATAATCGACGAACTTCTCGAGGGAACCCACGAATTCCTGCTCACGGAAAAGGCGGTGGTGGTGCAGGTATGAGACCATCGTGTCCTTCGGATTCCTGGCCACGTAAACCACCTGTTGAAAGTCACGTTATTTAGGAAACGGTTCTCATACTTCTCGATTTTCTCGATTTTATTTTCTGGGGCGTATTTACTAAATATGTTTACTTTCTCTCCTGTTTCTTCGGGGGTATTTTGACAAAGAACACACTAGGCTCTATATTCCATGAAGAAGATATATCTTTAATAAATATATGTTCAGTCAGACTATGCCACATAAATATGATAATATTTTAGATAAAATTAACTCTGAGATAAGTGGATAGAATACTAACAACCAAACATCAGTATTGCCAGGGTGCAAAATGAATCAGAAACCTTCCCTTTCACAAATAAAAAGAAACAAATAGTAAGAAAACGAAATTATATAATGAGTGAGCGATAAAAATAAAAACAAAAATCACAAAGATTACAAACTTACCCTTCGAGCCTCATGCCCCTAACACACAACCCCCACCATACTTAACTTAAAAAAAAAGAAAAAGAAAGAAAGAAAGAAAAAAAAAATATATATATATAAACATAAAAAAGAAAGAAAAAAATCTCCATCTACCTCACTACCTTCGCATGATTCATGACATCGGGAGAAATGAGAGAGAACGGCAGGTGGGTCTTCAGTGTTCGCGGACTCGCCATGGCCTCCGCGAGCTGGATCATCTCCCCGTCGCGAAGGTCGGCTCCGGGACACAGCGTCTTGAAGGCTTTGGAGATCGAGACCATCTCTTCGCTGACGGGCATGAACATGTCCACACTGGAGGGGGAAGGGATGAGTTAGGCGTCGGTTTTTTTCTACACCGCCGAATCCTACACGGTTTTTAAGTTTCCTTTGTCACTCTTGTTGCGTTTACTACCTCACAGAAACTACAGGGAAATAAATGGTAAAATAAGCAGAAGAGAAGGGTTAAGGGGAAACACCTACTGTGTGTTCATAATATAATGTATGTGTGTGTATACGCATGCTTGTTTATATTAAAGACAGTATGTGTATGTGTGACAGTATTAGAATGTATGCACTTATGCATTTAGTAAGTAATAATTAGCTGTATGTTAAGAAATGATTGATTAATTTTATGTGATAGACGATTCTATGTTTTGGTTCGCTTGGTAGTAGCGTTTATTGTCGAAGTCGGCACTCCCCCCCCCCCCCCCCTCTCTCTCTCTCTCTCTCTCTCTCTCTCTCTCTCTCTCTCTCTCTCTCTCTCTCTTTCTCTCTCTCTCTTTTTCTCTCTCTCTCTCTGTCTCTCTCTCTCTCTCTCTTTCTCTCTCTGTCTCTCTCTGTCTGTCTGTCTGTCTCTCTCTCTCTCTCTCTCTCTCTCTCTCTCTCTCTCTCTCTCTTTCTCTCTCTCTCTCTCTCTCTCTCTCTCTCTCTCTCTCTCTCTCTCTCTCTCTCTCTCTCTCCCTCCCCCTCTCTCTCTCTCTCCCTCTCCTTCTCCCTCTCCCTCTCCCTCTCCCTTTCCCTCTCCCTCTCTCGCTCTCTCCCACAAGAACATACTCAATAAAGGGAACGCGATCCATAGCCTCTGCGTCCGCCTCAGGATTGTTCAGGTCCGGGTTGTTCCTCATTGTCCACACGATCTCCTGCGTCCACGTTGTTCCACACTTCGGGTACGTCATCACCAGCACGTCGTCTTTTCGGAACTGTTGTGGAATAAGAAGAACAAATGAGTAATTCTGGCGTGAGTTTGGTTAATATGCATCACTATGGTACTGTTAGGAAAATGAAGAATTCGTGTGGTGGAACTGAGTATTAATTGGAAAGTCAAATCGTAAGAAATACAGAAATCGTGAGAGACAGACAGAGAGAGAGAGAGCGAGAGAGAGAGAGACAGAGAGAGAGAGAGAGAGAGAGAGAGAGAGAGAGAGAGAGAGAGAGAGAGAGA